TGACAGACAATTGACCTGTTTCAATGTAGCAGTCAATTTGTTCATCGAAAGGTGAATCATGGTGCCTATCTAAATCAGTACATCGCTTCACTGGACCCTTTTGCACCAATATAAGAAATATATATCCTTGTGAGTGATATGAAGTGATGTGATGTTGAAAGTAACCTGACTGAAACGTACAGCACATTGAAATGTTTTGTCCCTCTAAATATCCCATCCCGTTCCACCTCACCCGATTAAACTACACATATCTATGTTCATAATAATACTGATTCAGTGGTTCTGTAACAGTTCGTAAAATGAATGTGAGACAGTTATTTATTCTTCTTGTAAAAAAGCTTGAAAAGTATAATTTTACACTGCCTACCTACCTTTACCTCGCATTAAATTGCCAGTTCCATCCGCATATTATTTAACACGCCTTGGAAATATCATGTCTGTCTCCCTTTGAAATAACTAAGCAAGATGGAAGCTGAGGCAACAGCGTATATAGGAAACCAACACATTCGACTAGATACTGGGATTTCACATTACTTTACCCAATATATCTGTCACCTTAGGCTTCATAACATTAGTAATATGGCTACGGAGCTGAGTTTGCCTGGCAAGTCAGAAAACCTAAATAAAGGATTGAAATATGTTTGAAAGAGACACAACTTTCTAATAACTACTACGCTCCAGTAATCATTCAACAGTTTATAAGGAGTGGTGATATTAGTGATGATTGCAATATATCAAAAAGGGAATTGTCCCCATTTGCAGTGTTCCCATGTGAAGAAGGGATTACAGAAATTTCAGGCGGAACTGCTAACAACTGAGGGATTAGACCGCAATTTCTACTCACAAACTTACTCAGAGAGAAACTTTGTAGGCTAAGGGGGAAAGTAAGAGAAGGAAACCCAATATTTCTCCCTTCTAAGAAACACTCAGATAAATGAGTTGGTTGTCAGTGTCAAGCTAAGATTCGTTGGAACATATTCTCCTAAATCTTTCCATTTCTTCAAAATGCTAAGTGACATCTGTTAACCCTCTCTTTGACAGTTTTCAGAAAAGACGCTCAATTTGGAGACTACTGCTTACAAGTTTTCTGAAGCTTTGTGTGAACTGTCAATTGAATGTTGTGGTGAGAGGTAGTTGATCATTATGCACTGACCTTTATTTGAACGATGCTGGAGGGTTTCGGCACAGACATTAGACGGTTTTCCTTTAAATCTGACTGTATAGTTGTAACAAAATCATATTGGTGCTTATATAGTTTCTTACATACAAAGCAACCAGGGAAAGCTATAAATCAGAGATAGAACAGTTTGATGAAATGATTTGGTATGGAAACCAAAAGGACATCACTTGAAGACCAGTCAGGTCCTACAATTGTTAATTCATGGATTTCATCTATAAAGTGAAATCACTTAAAACGTATACAGAAAATAGGCACAATTTTTTGAGATATTGTTTTGACTTTGGATTTACCCAGGTGTCTTCAGGTAGAGTATCAATGCCATACGACTGAAGTCATCTGGTGAGAAGTCCTGCTTGACTTAGGTTCTGTGCTTGTTGACAACCATCAGCGAGGCGTATCCATCACTTTGGGAGGACTGATATCTACTGACAAACGTTAACCATTGTCATCCAGCTCTGCATCCAGAGACGTCAATACTGAGATGCATGCACCTCAAAAGACATCATGTAAGATTAGGCTTAGCCGACCACCTAAAATCAACCAAGGTGGACAACAGTGCTGATCCTCTTAGCTTGGCGACCATACTACCAAATGAACGATAACAGATGGTTAGTACTTAAGACTAGCCAATATGAAATGTGTAACTTTTCCGTACTCATCCATTTTACACTGCAAATGTTCCTTGATTTTCGACATGAAAAGAAAGGCGCCTCTTTAACAATTTACTTACTTGATCGTTTACTTACATATATCAACCAAGAAAGTTTTTAAACTACTGCTAATAACTTCATATATTTGGCTGTGATAGTGAGTTTACGTTCCCTTCCATTAGTACCTGAAAACTTAGGAATACACGCTTCAGGATGGATATTTCTTTTCCGTTGACAGCCACAAATGTCGCCCTTAAAATTTTATTACCCAATTTTGAGTTGTGTACCAGTAGATAACTGATTGTTTCAAGTGGCTGCTACATTGAATATGTCAAGTGATGAGGAAGTTATGATTGATGTACACTAAGTAGCTAAAAGTGACCACAAATATTGATTTATTACATAAAAAATTATGCTTCACTAAACCGTAGGAATCCAGTAGAAAAATATGCAATTTGTGACCGTGAAATTCTATCTAATGAGTGAAACAATCACTTGTTAGAAAATAAATGTGGATTTATAAAAGTGATGAACAAGTCTATCATAACTCTGTTGTTATATAAAGTTAAGGACATGGAGTAACCTACACTAGGTTAAGAAAGAGAAAATACTTCACATCCCCCTACTGACCAAGAATGTTGACTTACATTGAAGTCAACTCTTGTCAACCATTGATAGCTAGCCAGGTGATGATTTATTTAATACGCTTGTCGTTACGACTCTTTTTAGAAGGATAAAAATTGAAAATAGAAGTTAATATTTATGCGAAATTAATCCTCGCTTTCGATATTACTATTTCAGTTCTTGTACCACTGAGAATAATGAATTAGACGAAGTCTAAATACGTTATGAGGAAATTTATCTGAGTTCGAGTGACTATGAGTATGACTGCTGCAACAGATTTGTCCAGTAGGTGCTTGTTAAACATCTGTTTCTTTAGCCATAAACTATGATGCTCATCCACTTGGACAGTAGAAGTGAGTGTAATCCCAAACCAAATGGCTCAGTGAAACTATCAGTGAGATGTAATTATGCTATTAGCTAGTGTTAGCTGATTCCTTCCTGTACACTGGTAACTATTTAGTTTCAGTTACTGTGACATTTCGCTCCAGAATAACGACCGGAAATAACAAGTATCAATAAACAATAATAATAATAATAACTGATATCTTTTGCACAAGAGATGGCTGTTGTATATCAGTGGCCTAGTGAATAACGCTTTGGCGTTTGAAGCCGTGAGAACTGGCATCGAATCTCGATGGGACATCATCACTCAGTGGGGTCTAGGTATATCTAAATGATCAGTCACAAATACGATAAAACGTACGTCGTGGATTGCAATACTGGCCATCAAGTGATATACCCCCTTATTATCTTTTGTTTCAATAGGTCATTCATTTATTCTGCTTTGTTCTTAAAAGTGCAGTTATGTATAAACAAATGTATTTGTTCTACACTGAAACCATCAAGTTGGTTTAGTACTTTACCAATGTAAAGTTTTTATTACTTATATTTCCCTTAACTTCATCACCTTAAGAATAATGGCCCATTGTCGATTAAATTTCCCTGAGGATACTGGATTATTAAGTTATGAGGGGAGTTTAACCACGTCACCTTTATTTTCCATATTCAATGTTCAATATTAGACAATAGCGAAGTGATAAATCCACTTCCTATTGGTCCGATCAATATTGATAAAAATGCTTATCTAACCATTGGTAAATACTTATGCAATAAGCATTCTGATAATGAGGAATACTGGTAAGTTTCTCAGGTGAAAGTGTTCTCCTTTTCTACTGTTTTGTCGGTCGATAGTATAGTCGGATGAAAAACTGGAGTGTAGTCTGTTTTTTCCAGTTAAGATGTCTGATATTCTAAATTATAATCTCTCTACCTGCAATAGTTTTTAATTCTTCAAGACATGGTAATTATGCCCTCAGACATTTATCTTCACAATCGAACAGTCACCACTCCCAAAAATTATCAGTGAAATGTAAACGAGGTGTTTCATGAATCCCTTCGAAACGGTACAGCAAAGCAAGAACAACAAATTTCGCAACATTCAGTGACTTCTTTTCAACTGAGAAAAGACTTAAAAAAGAATCATAAGATACATACAGAGAAATGTCATCTAAGTAGATTTGATTAATGAAACAGTGGAAGAGGAAGTTCATTGGTGAAAGATGATGAAAGAACTATTACGTATTAAGCAAGGCTGAATGAAATAAATTGTCTCGACAAAAATCAATGCCACACAATGTTTATGTAGTCAAATTGTCAGTTTCCTGCATGTAATAGATGGAAAAAAGGAATCAAGGAGATTACGTAAATACACGTGATAGTTTAAAAGCGTTAATACAAGGCTAAAAATGAAACATGGGTTAAGGTAAAATGGGTCTGGCTCAAACAGTTAGGACTGTAGAGATAAAAAGGAATTGTTTGTAAAATCAGCTACAGTAGCGGGTGAAATGACCGAAGTAAGAAAATGTGGACGAATAGATTTCGACTGAGTGGTAACGCTCTCACCTGAGTTCGATTCTTGACGCAGTCATGGTCTAGCCGTTGAACAACCTATCTCCTAAGGAAATTAAAATGTCCAAATGAGAAAGTACTGTTTTCTGGTTTCCATATGCTTCAGTTTCGTTGATAAGTGAATATACATGTATGGTTTGGTTCCTTCAATGTTTGTAACCTCAGTTAACTACTGATTATTATTCGTCAACCAGTGTGTCCTGGAAAACTCCACGCACTTTCCCCCAATGATCAACTTCAGATGAAAATCATATTGTGCTTTACCTAAATTCTTTATTCACTGGATCTAAGGTTTATTCTTCATTTATTATGTACTATTTTTTTCAGTGCGACTATGATATATATTGACTTTAGTGTGTTATAACTCGAACTTAACTAATCTTCATCTTATAACAGGGCTACAGTGTACTGGTTAACTTTGCCATCAAATCATCAAAGTTTTTCGTGTACTTATTATTTTTATGTGTGCATATATGTGAGTTTGTGTGTACGCTTCTATTATCCACACTGAGAGGTTGCTTCGGGTGAGTTTAATAAACGCCCACATTTGTATTTACTTCATCCTGACTTACGGATTGGTCAGTTGCACCTTCAAATAAAAGTGTAGACTATTGATTAGCTTTAGTAATCAAGGTTTCAAGCCATTTCAGCTAAAGTAACAAGCAACGTATGCTACTAAAGAGATCTAAACATCTATCATTCAGCTGAGTTTGCAGAAAATCACAGGCGGTTAGTTTTAGTATTGATTAGAACCAATGTGAAATATGCTTCATATTTCATTCATTCTCATCTCATTATTACTGATTAAGCAAATGTGACTCTTGTATTTAGATTGAAATTTTTATCATACTGCTTACTTGAGATGATGCTAGGGTGCATGGTTTCACTTAGCGTGTCGATATCGATCAACCTTTGTGCCGTAGTCAACTTGATGGTTAGCAGTGGAATTCAGGATGCAGGTTTCTCCCTGTTTACGACTCTTCAGCTGGATGTACTATCAACGCAGTGATTGATATTTCCATTGATACTCGAACCAAGTGTCCATCGCTTTAAACCCAAAGCGTTACCCACTAGACTACTGAAACACTAGGATCTCTTGTGTAACGGCTATCAGTTGTTGTCTATTGATATTTGTATTTTCCTGATGCTTCACTGGATCGCATTGCTTGACCTCTATTGGTAGATGGGCTGCCACTCCAAAGCATTGATACCATCCGAGTGTATTAGAGTTTAGAGCTATGGGTGCTAGATTCAACGAACAGCGGTGTATTCTATAACACATTGAATATTTGAGAGTAGAGGGGAGGAAGTAGTCAACTCAGTTTCCTCGATTGTGGATACTGATGAAGAGGGTGCACCTCCAGCCTTTGAACCCTCACTTTCTTTTGGAAAACTCGAGTACCATACCTCATCAATGCAGTCACTGGTAAGACATATCGGTCTCAAGCAATCTTCTGTTAACTATTCCAAACGATTCATTTTGAGTGGCGATAAGTGGTTTGTAAGTACTTGTACTGAAGACTCAAACTTTATTTACGTTTGGAATGATTACTAAATTAATTCTTTTCATATTTTAGTCCACATGTGTATGCTAATTAAGCTACTGAAATAGTTCATAGCTTTTATCAAATTGTATGGGAAATATGTAATACGTTAATAACAAACTTTTGCAGTTTACTTAAAATTTTGGGCTATCAGAAGGCTTCCATAATATATATTACGTCAAATTACTCCTATTATGCTTGTTTTAATTATTCAACTGTGATTTAATAGTAAAATGTACTCTCGCATCTCCTTAAAATGTATCTAACTTATCGTCAAACAGGTTAACAATTCAACTGAAGAAAAAAAATTATAGTACATGGCAGTGAGCTCTTGAGTTTGAAACAGTTCACTACATAACTATTACAGGGTTGGTTAACAGGATCTACAAACTTTTATGCTGGCTGAACAAACCTCCACCCCGTGTACAAAGACATACTCACCAACTAGATGAAAACTTAAAAGCATTCGGTCGTTGTGTTTTATTGCTTATCATACCAGTATTATTAACATTATTTAACTGCAATGGTTATTTAATCTGAGAATACTGTATATGGAGTAAATTTTTAACCATCACAATGAGAATTTCACCCTGTCCGGAATAAAGTGATTATTATTATTATTATTATTAGTAGTAGTAGTAGTAGTATTGTTGCTAGAAAGTAGAGGAAACAATAATAGTCACTTTGAATACCTGAGATAGTCATGGTTTGGCAAACTAGTATTGATGCTGGATGACAACTGAAGGTGAAATGGAAATCTGAACCGCTGCTGGATTTGGACCAGCGACCCCCTGGTTTCCGGCCCGACGCTCTACCAACTGAGCTACAGGGTCCAACTGCTAATCAGTATCAATACTAGTCTGCGAAACCATGGCTATACCAGATAATCAAAATGATAATCAGCTTCATGCTCCACCTCTCTCATTCAGTTATATTTCGAATGGGATGAGAAGTCCTGACTAGACAGCCAGTGTGAGTAAGATCAAGTGATAGTAACGCGTCACGAGTTCACAAGGTAGTCGGGCAAAATTCTTGGTGGTTGGTTGAAGTTATATAAAAGTCAGTTCAGTAGTCGAGCCTCGTGGCTCAATTAATAAAGCATCGAGCAGAAAACCCGGTGGTCTCTGGTTCGAACCCAGCTGCAGTCCAAGTTTTCATTTTATCTCCAGTCATCACCCAATACCAAATCCATAATTACATCCTCACTACAAGCAAGTCGGTGAACTTAGTTTATTAATGTTGTCTCCTCAATTTGAAGTAAGCCTGGCTGTGAAGAATCTATTCACAACCTGAAAATGTTCATTAACCTAGGTTGTTTGTTTTACAGTTTCTACTGAATAGTGTGACAATGTCAAGGTCAGGGATATAGAAAAGCTACCAGAAACTTCTAAATGCTTACTTTATAGCTGTTAACCGAAAATAGGGATATAATCCTTCTTCTCAAACCAGATTACATAAATGCTTACATGTACAGAGCTAAGGGTCTAAAAGTGAGTTGAATGTACAACTGTCGAAACAATCCTTGGCTTATTCTCATAGACATGATGTTCAAACAAACAGTAATAATCTGCATTTGATTATTTCTGGTTATTTTTCTATCTAATCCAGTTGAAAGTCTAAGTTAGTTAAGAGTATTTTCAAGGCTTTAGTTATAACAGGTTTTTCTGGTCCAGCTGAGTTTACTAAATGAGGTGATTAAAACCCCAAAAATAATAGCTAAGACTTGATGATAGCTGACTCAGAAGTAGGTTTCTGTCAGACACCCATCAAAAATATGATGCTATTTTTGTCAGCGTAAACAGGTCTGAGTCAGATAGCACTTTAATTCTCAGAAATATCAACGTTGTCACTCTTTGTGCAGCATCACAAACGAATAGTAAACTAGTGATTTAGAAATCTATAATTGGTGTCTTTTTACAAAATTCATATAGATTAATTAAGTCACCTGGTTTTACAACTAACAGAAATGTTTCAAGTTCTAGCTTTTCTAACTGTTCTGTTCTTTCAGAATAATTACTACATACTGAATTCAGAGTTATTTTAAATATCAGTGCAAAGTTCAAACTTAATGATTTACATGAGAAGGAAAGAAGTGTTGCCGAAATGATTGAAATTTCTAGCCTGTATATCTTAACAACATGACTATCTTAGTGAAACTATCAGTGTCGGCAATATCAGCCAACCAGTGAGATAATAACAAAGTTGGGAACTCTACCTACATCCAGCTTTATCACATTTCAAAGACACTTGAAATATATCAAGGGAATACAGGACTAATAAGTCATCAGTGAAGTATATAAGGTCGTCTAGAGCTGAAGTGAATTTGATATGAAAATTTAAATAAAATCGCCTCTAAATTTTTAATCTTTATAACATCTATGACGATGCCATATTGGAAAGGTGCTTATGAAGAAAACATGCACCTCGCATGATGTTACAGTCCGTCTGAACCTTTAAATTCACTAGAAAGGATCTTAGTCGAAGTGAAAGATGCAATTCCCTAAGATGACACATCAAATGCATCTGAAAAACCAAATGTTCGGAATCTGAGACAATTTGTATATAAAAAGAGATATAGACCGGTAAAAATTAGGGTAAATGACATGTTATGTTAGAAACAACCGCCAAAGAATCAAGACCAACCAAAAAACTTAGAAAAAGGATCAGTAATAGATATGCATGCAATCGAAAGTGGACATATTATTAACTTTGAGAATATAGAGATATTGGGGAAAGGTTTCCATTCGCACAAAAGAAGATTAATCGCCAACACAAATGCTGTAAACTGAAGAGACGGTGTACACTTTTCACTTATATGGTAACACATTAATCCAACAAAACCATTATAAGGTGATCCTTTCTAAGTGAAGCTTTAATGACAGTGGCAATTACTGAATATTCATCAGTAAACTAGCATCCTCATACAAGTACAGGAAACAACACATTCTACAACATGCATACACTTTGACTGCTGGCCATTTTTCTCTGAGAAATGACAATATGGACTTGTAATGAATAATTATAATCAATGAATCTGGACAACAAACCATATAATTAGTGACCTTATTATTACTATTATTTGTCGCATGGGTTCCTAGTGAAACAAAGGGCTTCAGTCTCACATCTCCAGTTCACTCTGTTCTGTGCAGTCTTTTCAAGCTCTCACCACGACCGCTCACAAGCTTTCATTTCTTCCTCACATGATCTAACTCCATGTCACCTTCGTACACACGCCCAATTCGTCGTTTCCTCTTTGGATTATACTCGAGAGCCTGGCGCGTGACGTCCCCAGTCGACCTTTTCAGTGTATGCCCAATCCATCTCCACTTCCTTCTGCATATTAGTTGAATGATAGGTTCTTGTTTGGTTCGTTGGCAGACCATAGTTCGTTGTTGCTTATTCCTATTATTCTGGACATCTGATCTTCAGTATCGAGTGAGCGTAGGTAACAGCTGTTGCTGAATGTCTGAATGCAGTGCAGTGCATTGCATTGCAGTAGCTCTCCACACTGATTTCAGATTGATGAAGCCCCGTCATGCCGAAGGCCTGTCTTTCCGATCCTGCCTTCAACGTCTACATCTGTGCCACCACCACCTGTATTTGAAACGATATTGCCCAGGTGGTAGGTGAAAGAGACTACTCCCATTAGGTTTCTCCGGTTAATAATGATTAGTACTTGTTGTTCATGCTGTTGTTCGTTGGGTATCTTCACCACCTATCTCTTCTCAGTGTTCACCTGAAGTTCCGTCTTCGCTGCCATTCCACTTCTGCCAACTTGTTGGTTTTCGCTTCTAGATCATCGAGTTTTTGCCACAAAACATGAGACATAAATCATCATCGGTGAAATCCAAATCTTCTAGGCTCTTTCCATCGGTCAAATAGCGTATGCCCATCTTGCTCCTCACAGTTTCTTACATGGTCCACTCCAGTCGACTACAATCAGGAAGGTCATCGGCGATGGTAGGTGGCAATGTTGTCCCACTCCTGTCTTCACTTCGAAGGCATCACTGAGCTTTCCATTGTGAATCACTTGGTATACAGCATCATATAGCATATAGCTGCTGTTGAATGAGGTTGATAAAGGTTCGTGGTACTTCGAGTATGGAAGCAGCTGCGTACCAAATTACTTCTCGGTCGACGCTGTCGGAGTCCTCTTCAGAATCGATGAGGTTGAAGTAAAGTTCACCGCTATTCTACTCTATGTTCTACGCTGATGCGTAGCGTGGCAATTTCATCCACACATGATTTGTTCTTCCTGATTCCACCCAGCCTGTTCCGGTCATAATTTTGAATCCGGCTCATGTCTGACATTCTCCAGGATGATGTGGGTTAATATTTTGCTTGGGTTGGACAGAAAAAGGAGCATGATCCCACGCCAGTTACTGCGAAGACTTAGGTCTTCGATTTTTTAGAGTTTCATAAGGTAGCCCTTCTTCCAATCAATAGGCAGGTACCTTTCCTTCCTCCCTTTAAACCTTCTGTAATTGTGGTGTCAGCGTGTCCACTGTTGTCTCTGTGTCTCTTTTCAGTGCTTATGGATAAATTTCATCTGGTTCTGCTACTTTTCCGTCTTTCAGCAACTTTATGGCATTCAGGAGTTCTTTTCTATTTTTTCGGAGGACTTGTGTTCACTGACTGTTCTGTAGCTGGGGTGCTGGACGAGCTGCAGATGGTGGTCGATTCAAGAACTTTTTGAAGTGGTCAACCCATCGTTTCCTGTGTTCCTCCTCCTTGTTAACTAGGTGTCCTTCAATATCTTTCATCGGTTTCATCTGTGTTGATCTCTTTTCAGATTGTAACCTGTTTGTTTGAAATAAAGTTTTCAGGTCTCTACTACCAGCAGCCTGTTCTGCTTTACTTACCAATGTGTCTTAAAAGTGTATTTTGTCTTTGCGCGCAGTCTTCTTCATTTCTTTGTCCAGCGTAGTGTTTTATAGGTTGCGTTCGGTTCTTTTTTTCGTTGTTCATCCACACACTGCACTGCACTTGTTCATCTTCTGCTTCACCATCACCATCTCCCTCTCGATCCTCTATCATCTTCCATGTGGAGATCCATGTAGATCCATTCCTTTTCTTGTCTCTTCTTCTTCCTTCTTAATACGGTTATGTAGGTTTTCTTCTACATAGCTTTCAAAGAGTTGCAATGTTCTTCCACGAAGGTTCCTTCAGGGATGTTGCTTAATGTCTCCCACTTTTTCCAGATGACTGACTGATGTGAAGATACCTTTTCTAACTTCAGTTTCTATTCTGAGTGTCCAACTTGAACTGTCGTCTATCACCAACTTAGATGAAGTTTTTCAACTTGACTTTGAATTCAGGTTCCTTTCACTGGATAGTCAGTGGTGTCTACCTACATCTGCTCCCCTTCTTCATCTCATCTTGTGTCTAGTAGGCTGGCTACATCTCCACTTTCTTCACATTGAGATGAAGTCGCTCTGATTTTTAGTGTAGTGTGTCCTGGTGTCTGGTGAAACCAAATCCATGTCACTGCCTTGTGAATATCTTTGGGCTTCGACACACTGCCTCACCTCCAATAACCAAATCGTTGAATGCACACAAGTCCACATACAGTTCTCCATTCTAGTTCATTTCACACAGTGTTTCTCAATCCATGATTGCTTCTCTCTCTGAGTTGACCGCTCACACTCTGACATTCCTGTCACCCCACACATTGGAATCTCGATGTCGCCAACTTGGTTGAGGTCTCCTCCAATACTGATAGTAGTTGTCTTTAGAATTCCTCCTTCTCCTCTTGATCTCCATTCATTGTATGTGTGTGTAAGATGCCATTGTATCATTGTGACTTTCCTTCCTTCCTTTCGATTCCAATCTTGCTGTCATGATCCTGATCCTGGAGGAGGAGGAGGAGGAGGAGGAGGAGGAGGAGGAGGAGGAGGAGGAGGAGATTGGTTCCCATTGCCTGAGATCCCAACATCGATGCTCTTCAAAGGGACATCATGATAACCACTCCGAAATTCAGTGTGCTCGTGGTTGTTGTCTGGGTGACAACAGAGGAGTAGATTACTGACTCTCCAGTTGACAGTTTGGAGAGTCCACATCCACTCCATCTGCTGATTCCTCACAGATTTCTAGCACTTCTGTGCCATACCACCTCATCCCTTCTGCAATCTGAGCAGTCTTGCTAGCCAGCTTCAAACACTCTTCGGACATTCCATGTCCCCATGTTTACTTTCACTACCATCGTGGGAGAGAAGACATATCGGACAGTAGACTTCCTGAAGTCTTTCACCAACTGATGTCATTTCGCCTCTCCGATTCCAGTGAGGAATAGGTTTAATTCAATGTTTTATATTTTCTTTGTGCTTTGAAGTTTCTTTAGGGATTGGATTGGTTTTCCGGGGTAGGGTTGCTTGTAGTATGCCCAACATTCCCTCTTTACCCGTGCTTAGCACCGGTCAGTAACTAGTGAACTAGTTGCCCAGGCTATGTACTCTTTGGTTATATATCATAATGTTATTAGATAATCTAAATATTCTGCTGAAAAGCTGTTGGTTATTTGGAGAAACTTCCTGAAAAATCATGTTGTAATTTTTTAAACACACTGGATTTGTGGTAAAATATAGTATTACGGTGATTAAATCAAACTCAGCGTCCACCTTCTTCCAAGACATTTGCAACAACTATGATCTGGATGTTGGTTATCTTATAAACATTTCGTTTTACTGACGACAGCAGATGTCACGAGATGAAAGTAGATTTTCTTACTTTACATATGGATGCAACATACGATTACTTCCGAAAGTCCTCTTCTATGTAGGTACGAAGTTTAGGGACTATGACTGAATGTTATTCCATATCAGATCGTTCTATTTCAACTCCCTGTCTTACTTTTTAAATGTTTTATAGCTTGTAATTTCTTATTTGATTAGTAGTAGAATTTTCTATATACCTTAAATCCATATTGAGTCATTTTTATTACACGTGTTAGGCGTTGAGTCTATGAGCAGAGATTCAGTGATCAATCTCACTCTGTTACTAGCTATATTAGTTTTTGAGACTGTTGTTCTGTTCCTTCCCATTTTGTGGTTGCATGTTATCGCATGCATAGCTTTGCCTCAATTCATTTTTAGATTGCTCGTCCATCCATAACTGTGTTGGGTTCTTGAATTCTGTTTACCTGATTGACCCTCATCTGTTATTTCAATCTATGTACGTGACCCCAGAGTCACTATAACGTATTTCTGAAATTAGATTATTCTGTCTAATTGTGTCATTCAAATCCATAGGCTAACATAGATTGCTTTCGAGGAAATTTGTAGGTTTGAATGCCGCCCTAATCTGAAGCCCATCGAGAATCAGAAGAAAGGTTTCTGATTTCCATCCTTTGTGTGGTAACATTATAGATGCCTTGAAGTTCTTTTTAGCCGCGTTGTGATCATTGCTTTTCCTAGTTTTATGCATCATTTAGAATATCCGAATAAATTTAGGAGGGTAATTATGACGAAATGAAGCTTCTTTTATATGTCTCATTGCTTCATCTACATTTTTAGATCTACTCAGTAGACTTCAAGATGAATTGCTTCAGTATTCAACTAGGCTCACCTTTACCTATTAGCTAACGTAGAGATATCGAATAGAACCCGATGTCTTCCTTAAAATATTTGTGTCCAGACCACCGTCTTGCCTTTATCTTTTATAAGCTAACACGGCTACTTCTTCCTATTCATCTCCTGTGTTAGACGTAGATTGTATCTTATCTGCCAGTGAGTTTATGCGTGTGAAGGAGCTATGAATATGTACGGACTGAACATGTCCCTATCATCATCACTTGGAGAATCACTGAAGACCTTGGACCACTGAAATATGCTTCATCTTAGTATCGGACTCTGCAATGGTATGTACTCATGATCCCACCAGCAGTTGAACTCAGGACCTTCAGATCTCATGGTGAACGCATTACCGACACAATCAATGAGTCGGAGTTTATAGTCAACAGTTTCTCACTTCTATCGATTTGCGATGTAGCCCGACCTTCGTTTGGTACCACCGTTGAGTATTTGTCTTCATATTCAACTCGGTTTGACCAACATGTCATGATTTCTCATTAGAACCCTAGAAACTCTATGGGAAAGTAAGTGACTGATGTCATTCTAAACAACAAAGTCAGCAGAAATTTCAGAAAGAAATAAGAAATGTTTATCAGTCAAATAAAGTTGTCTAAGAACCTTGAGACCAGTTGGATTTCATAACATGTAGTTCCTCAGTGATTTATTTGAAATGAATCAGATCAAAAGTTAGGCTATGCAAACTAACAGATCCTGATCAACTGTTTGGATGAACTTTAAAAACTACCTGTTCAATGTAAGAATTTATGTATCTCAATGAAATTAGATTTCGTTGTAAGTACCACAACTGGTGTTAATCCTTGTAGAATACGAACAATATAAAAAAATTTTAATACAGTGAGGCATGAAATGAAATTCAGCTGCTTTTCTTATGAGTTTCTATGGAACTCATTTCAAAATAGTCGTATTACAGTAAGACTTTATTGCTGTATAAGTATATACTTCATTAAATGAACAAAATCCATCCGAAATTGAACTCCACAACAGTCCCGTAGTTCTACAGTTACAATAAATGAAATTTTATTTGTTCTAATTTTAAAAAATATTTTATAAATGAAAGAATAGTTATTCTTGAATTTCATTTTCTAGATGACCTAGTTTAGTAATTGAGCGCTAGTTGTTCTATTGGATTGAATCTATAACGATTCAAATTTGAAGGATAGTCAGTTTCCAATTAAACATGTCAATTGTACTTCAAGGTCAGCCATACGCTATTTATCCTTCTGCATACAATCCATATGAACCAGCAAACTACAAACGATTTGCAGCCTATAGTAAGCAAATGCATAAAAGTACAATCTGTTTTTATCGTTTAAAAGTGAATACATTTTCAATTATTCCTGCCTGACTATTATTAATAATGTAAACGGTTGTGTTCATCACTGACTGATATTACATGGAGAACCATTGGAAACCTAGGGGCATTGGATATGAGACTCCTCAACAGTAGGAACTCCAAGTCGATGGCTGAATAGTTAACGCAGTCTTGGTGGAACCTGAAGATCCTGAGTTCCATCCTTGGTACGGTCGCAGATCTATACTACTGAGAAAACCCAAACTGGGACAAAGCATCTTTTTAGTGCTTCCAGATTTTCAAAGGTTCTCCGGAGGATGCCAGTACATGATGGATACAACCTTGAAAAAAACCTAATAAACTCGAAACTTTTATCATTAATTTTTTTTTCAACCTAGTATGGTATTATAGAGCGGGTGATAGTGACACCGAGACAAAATGTAGAATCGCATAGACTGGTCACTTCCTGTTTTTTCTTTAGCAGTTTGACTGCTCTTGTGGAGCAAGTTACGTCAGCCGCTACTCTAGGAATTTAATTTTGCATGCTTGCGAATAACTCCGAGAGTGGATAAGTAAAATTATTTTTCTTGACAGTTCTAGTGAAATCGGAAGGAATTCACAGATACAATTTTTCAAAGTTATACTACCCATAATTTAAGCCTTGACTGTAATTCAGAAATATGGGATTTTAATATATTTAAAGTCTGCAATTCACATTTCTAAGAAGAGATGAAAAGTTTCGTATTTTCAATCACCCAGCAATAAAACATCTTATCATTCGGAGTACTCTTATAGTTCAGTGTTCAATCAGAGATAGAAAAGCGAGGAAGTTGCTTTTTGTGAATCTCTTACAGATTAAATACAGAAGCACAGTTGTGCTCATTCAATTAAGTAGGATTTTACTGTGTACTGAATTGCTTCATCTTTATCAGATAACGAAATAAAAAAATAACCGAGGCATACTTCAGTTTTCACATAGTGTGTTCATAAGAGATAAACAGGTCACTAAGCAGGCAAAAATTCAATAGCATTTCTGTTGATGTCTGAATGTATTTGAAAAGATGTTTACGTACTATCTGGGTGTTCATAGAGAATGAAGCACTTGTTTAAAGTGATCGGTCTTCGTGACTAGGAGTAGAATGTTTATTTCGAAAAGTCGAGAAGTATTTCTTGGTGACTGTGAAAGATACAGGTTAGGTTGGTGTCTCGTAGATTCTAATTTACTTGATGGCTAGTAGATGAATGCAGGATGCACGTTTCGTCCCTCTTGGGACTCGTCAGCTGGATGCACTAGCACCCCACTTAGATTTTTTAATCATTCGTTTTAATCCAAGGTTTCCCGGCTTTTATTTATCTGATGTACGTGCTTTAATCAGTTGTCATTCACTTTCGGATTTTAAAGTTGGCTGATAATATTAACAGCTAAAAGTATCAGGTCAAACTTTTATGGTGAACACCATAGATATACGGTCGTAATAAAATGACTTGAAATACAGAACAGGCTGTCCCGGCTTTCATCAATAGAAAGACATTTAGTGACTGCTTGAGAAGACGCGGGGAGATTTAAATTCCAGTCTAAAAATGATTACTACGCAAGACATAAATGTAATCGAATAAAGTTATTTAACATTTTGTCATACTTTCCAAAAATAATTACAAAATAGATCAACACTTATCATTTGTTGATCTTGGGTTGGAATTCATCATGGACTGACAACAGTTGGAGGAATATTTGAAACCTGGAAGCACCGGACAGTTGTTTCGTCGTGGTATGGGACTCCCCCTGCTGTGCGCACCCATGGCCTAGCCCTACCAGCGATCCAACTCAGCACCTTCAGGTTCTGTGGCCAGCAAACTATCGTTGAGCAACTGCGTTGGAATAGAATGGTCCACATTTTCTACTTCTGTAATGAATTCCAACCTAAAGTCAATTAATAAATCCCCACATACTTACAGATAAGCTTATCATTTGTTCTCTGTTATAAATTAAATGTCAATAAAACTAAAAACATTAAGCTACTTAACAATTCTCTGACTAACCTACGTAAATGCTTACTCTAGTGGAGCTGTGGCTTTTTGGTCCAGGAAGTTAACTCCTAGCTGGTGGATGGGAGGTGAAAACCGCTTTCGGTTTACCGAAGTTTGAGGAGCCAGGTAGCTTTAACACACTAGGTGTGACTCATTGCCTACTACAAGGATGTTCACAAGGTTGTTAAGTGCATTTTAAAGCTTACATTTTTAGCAAATGTCCTCCTAAGTATTGAGTTATTTGATTTTGCAAACTAAGAACACGATAGGATGCAAAAGAGCTAATTTTCATATTAACTTGTGAAGAAAAATAATCATTATTCTATGAAACAGATGGCAAACAGCGCAAAACATGTTGAAGTGACAATAACACACTTGGCTAGTAAGTGTCAGGAAGAGACCTGTAGAAATGGAGTTAACCGAAGTGAAAAGAAACCTGCTGATTACGAGAAGAGTATTTGTTCTTGCGAAATCGCATGAATAACTTTGAACCAGGCTAATCTAAAACAGTAAGATCTCTGTTTCGCATAGTTTTAAGTAAATGTTTTAGTGATTTAAGTCACGTATGACCTTCAAAAGAGAAGCTTGTGAGGAGTTGCTTGATTTTAAGCATTTTCAGTCACGAATCAACATCAGTGAGGAGGTTATTGAAACCACTGAAGCATTGGACAGTTATTCTGTCAAATTCTAGGATCTCTTGTAAGTACGCACCAACAAACGTCCAAATAGAATGACAACGTGATGCTTACTGGTGGTTTTTTTTCAAAACAGACTTCGCAAAATATTTTAAGTAAGAGGTTATGATCTACGGAATTCATGAAGTTTGATGAAACACCAAATATTCACAGCTTACATTGCAAAACAGTCACACTAGATCAAAAATTGAAAGATGTTGGAAAAAAGAGTCGCTAGACTACGAAGTAGTTACTGAGTGTTGGCGGACACATTCTAAGCTCGATTTGATATGAGTTTATGGAAATGTAATGGTCAAGATACCTCAGCTACGAAGAAATAGCTGTCCAGCATTTGAAAGTCTTGAGTTTCTTTCTGTTTGATATAGATCCAATATGTAAAGCTTAACCGAACTCTTATTCTTCAATCCACTTGAAGTTGGTACCATTCGTGTACTACATTCCTTTGTGTGCCAGACGTAAGTGAGCTAACAAGTATAAGGCCTTCATTCTTGACAATCTGAATTAGTCGTGGTTAGGTAGACCAGTGTTGAAACTGTGTAGTGCTTGAAGGTGAAATGAAAGTTTGGACGGCGGCTGCATTCGAACCAGCTCCAAGTAGCAATACCTGTCTGTCAAACCACAGTCATCTCAGATAGTCAAAAACGATAATGAATATGACTCTGTCTCTCTTTAATTCAGTTCAGTGAAATAGAAATCTGACCAGCAGTCGAACTTCGTAGCTCACTTGATAAAGCATCGGGCTGGAAACCCGGTGGTCACTAGTTCCAATCCGGCCGCAATCCGACCTTCATTTGATTGCTTCTGAGTCTAAAGCATGGGCTTTAGAACTTATTCATTCTGTTATTCTTTTACTACCCTCTTGCTTTTGAAGGGAACTGAAGGGAATAATTATGTGAAAATTCCTCGTTTCGCTGAAACTAAAGTTTGTAAAAATACTTCAAGCTTCACTGACAGTATGTCAAGTTTAACTTTGAGACATTATCTGCAACTTGATTAACTCTTCGAATTTCGTACTTGGTAGTGATATAAGTACCCTCTTTATAAGTCACTATTTTGTTACCTATGTAAACATGACTTGAGGATAAAAAGTCTAGTTTTCAGTAATTAATTCACTCATTGTCTCTGCGCTTGATGATCGATATGCCAGCGTTTAACCCATACTTTTCGAATATAAAGTACATCTGAGAAATACTTTATATCACAGATTTTCAAATTCTGACTAGAATAATACGAACTAAAGACGATGTGTAATTGTCTAACTCTGCACTATGCGGTTAAACAATAGGTCAAGAACACTCTTAGGTTCACAAAACAGAATTCAGTTTTTCTAAGAAGTAACTACCAGAGGAAGTTAAAGTGCTCAAATGATTTATATTTATGAGATCATTTTCATTAGGTTAAGGAAAGCTGTTGACAAATGAATTCAATGTTTAACGGCATAGTAAAACTCAGTAAAATACTTAAAATTGAGTCTCAGAACGAATAATTGTAGATCAACAAAGAAATAAAACATTCACTTTTATTTCTCATTAAATACATGGAAAATGTCTCTTCTCCAAAAGGTAGTCTGACCAAATTTGACCATGAAGATTGTGGAGATATTCATGAAAATGGTTCATCAAATGAAATACGACCAGAAATTCTCTCTGCAAAATATTCTTGTTCAAGAGAGTCTAGAGAGCAGAGACCTCTTGAAATTCCCAGGAGACCAGTAACAAGCGGACATATGAAACAAGCTGAAAGAAGACCACAATTTAAAACTATTAGGAAACAACTACAGGAAAATAATGATTTAGGCTTCAACTGGTTACTAACATCCAAGATCAATTTAATCCCGAGAGTAAGTTTGAATGTTGAATGTATGATTGTTTTGAGTTGCTATTGTGATAAACTTGGGTAACCCATGGGTGTGTAATTGGTTTTTATCATAATATAGAGGCTTGCTTAAGACCAGTAAGTGAATGATAGCTGTGTCATCTTTGTGTAGAACGCCTCAACAATAAATATCCATGACCTTATACGAAGCCAAGTTTAGGGTATACATACTTTTCAGCGATCATGCTGTCGTTTATTAGGTCGACTGAAATTGGCTGCTCATGGTTTCCACGTCTGTTATGAGCAAGATTATATATAAGATGGGCTCTACTGTTAACTAACTGACGGAATAAGATGTGGGCCACTGTATCTCGACTCAGTGGTTCAATGACAACGTCCCGGACGCGGGAACTGAAGGCCCCCTGTGTGCACTGCTGAGAAGTCCCATACTAGGACGAAACAGCTTCCCAATGCTATAAGATCCCCAATATTTCTCCAACTGATATCATTCCAAGATCAATATCAACCATAAATTGAAGAATCTGATCTTTTGAATTTCTGAAGCACAACCTATTTACCATCAGGATTGAGTATTTCGAGCCTAGTTCTCCATGGAGTTATGGATGCGCATTGGTTATGCCAAAGTTTCTGTTTTGTAATGAGTATTACTTTTATGCTGTCTTTACGGTAAGAACACACCTATGGCAGAAAAGTAAGGTGATTTTCATTTGAGAAATGCATATCCACTCATATAGTATGATATTTTGTGACACAAGATTGTTCCACTGACCCATCAAAGTAATTTCCTCCAGAGTGTTTGAAATCTCTTCATTCGGGATGTAGAATGCGAAGGAAATCTGTAGCTTAAGTCTCTTGTATGTTTTTGTATCATAGTTTTGCAGCTGTATGATTCTGATGTGAATCAAATAAGTTGTAACATTGTTCAATTCAATGTTACTTTCATTCGTCATACTTTAATAAAGCGACTTTGTGTTAAGTATGGGTCAACGGCAAAATGTCACTTTATCGTCAATAAGCTTTTTAACATGTAAGATTCAACAGGATAAATGCAACTGAGAGCTATGTGAAGTTAGAAGGCTGTATGGTAGCATTGACTATTGGTTCTGTTTACAATAATAATTGGCGGATGGATTTGTACAGTGACGACATTCGAGGTGATTTACCAGTGTGTAAGCCACAGGTAACAAACGTTGAAAGTGACAAGTTCAATATGGCCGACTTATAACTCAAAACTCTGACGAATCAGACAACATTCAATGTCCAGACAACAAGACAGCTAATCAGAAGAATGTAGGAAACTGTGTCCATAAACATTAGTTACTCATTAGTAATATAATCAATAACCTGTTAAATGTGACAAATAAGATTGGAAAAGTATTACTGTTTAGTAAAATTGTACATGTGTTATCTCAGGTTGACTTTGTTAGGATGATTTTTAATCATAATTTCAACTGTTCTTTGGGTTTTTTTTCAGCGGAAATGGCCACAGTATGTGGGTGGTAGGTAGTTATTTTAATTTCAGTTCAGGCCAAAATATCTTTGGTGAGATGGCGAAATACTGAAGTATTTCCAAACATTCTTTCTTTCAGGCAAAGAAAGAAAGATGAGTATGTTGCAGAATGTGATCAGTCAATGAGTTGACCGAAACAACTTGGAACTTATAGATTACTGCTTAATTTCACCGCATATGTAGCTATTTTTCTGTTCTGTCCTCCAGTAATATGCAGACTTAATGCATTTTCGATCTGTTGTTTAGAAATAGACTATAATAATAAAACTTGGGAAGTGGATGTGATGCATTTCCATTTGAGGGGATTTATTGGATGTATCTCATTGTGGAACAGTGTTATTTACTGGATTGCGTTTCAAATGTAATTTACTCTCTATAATCATATCAAGATAACTACTCAACTTTGAGACATGGTGTAATTATTTCTTATTTCCTCACCTTCTTTATACTGTAGGTAGTAGGATTTTCCATATATCCGGAACAGGTGCTGAGTCATTCCTGTTGGACGTATTACGTGTTTATTTGACAAACAAAGATTCAGCTATCCCATCCAATTGTGTCGTTGTGAGATTGTATGCGTATCTATGGCAAAGCCTTTTCCTAGATTCCTCATCTTTCTAGGATCTACCAACTTTAACCTAGTTAAGCTTTTGTGCTCGGATAGCCTAAATGACCGAGGTGGATTACTTTGACCTACATATTTGAACTCGAAATCGTTGCAGGGGATTTGGTTAACTAAGATATTCTGCTTGATTGGCTCAGTAGGATCTCTGACTCAACAAAACTTATTTCTACGTGAGTTTGTACGCAGCCCTTTGTGTTTGAGGTCGAGCAACAAGAAATCCTTCTTGACCTAAGTTTCGTGTCTGCAGGTGCTCTGCAGCAAACAGTACCTGTAACCGTAGTCAAGATGGTATTCCGTCAGTGGTCTGAACCTGCACCTCTCAGTGCTCGAGTAAGACAGCTTACGATCAAGCTATCTAGGATATCACTGACTTCTTGTTGACTAGATTATGAATACAAATCAGTCATCAGCGTGTAATCTATGTATCTGTTTAGTCCTGTGTGCTTAGATCTAATTGGGTTAGGTTTAGAAAACCAAAAGAATTCCATTTTTCCTACGGTTGTGGTTACACCTTACTGATGAATACAGAAAGCGGTAGTCCTCACTAACTACCTTCTAACATGTGACGTCGACATCCAGTCCATCACAATGTCTTATCCCTAAGCTTAGTCACCAGATTTTAAACCTGATCTGACCTACTCCGGTGGCGATTGACCTCCTGTAGGAATGGATGAGGTGCATTTAGGCGAACGTTTTCTTTTCCTAATTTTAATTTTCAATCAGTGGTGTATCTTAGCATAGCAATATACACTTTTACTTTTAGCCAATAACGTCAGTTACCAGGAAAACAATTATACCGACTCCAAACATGGATATGTTTGAAGTGAAGAATAATGATTTTGATAATCGAAACTCTGTTATCAAAGTAACATCAGCTTCTCTTATTCATCCTAATTGTTTGCCGGATAGAAGACCACAGTCAGCAGCCTCAGTAAGTTATCTTTTCTTGGAAGTAATTTTGTTTTCAATGATGTCTACTGAAAAAATAATGACGTTTGATCTATAAAATTACAATGTACCACTAGGAGTAGAACAATAAGGCTTTACAGTGCATTGACTTCTAAAGACTTACTTGGTTACCAGAAAATTTTCAGCACAGATTGAAGCATCCGAAACAGCCTATTAGTTTTTAATTTGAATTATTTACCAGTATGCATTAAAGATTGTATAAGAAATGAACCCTATAACCTCCAGTCTTTGTAATGTGTACAATACCCTTTAGTCAGTAACTCAGTTGAAACAATAATACGCACATTTTCTAGCTTGTTGATTCACAACATAACACATCATCAGTGAATATATGTTAATGTTTGTGAATATTATTTGATTCATCATTCCTGTGAGTGACATGTGGTCACCTGATCGTATGGAAGTGTCTTCATTAATAGACTTTTATGAGCTATAGAATCAAGATAAACTAAGAATCGCCTTGGCTGTTCAATACTGAACCAGGACAAACCACTTATTCAATGTTTATAAAGTTACAGTAACGCTCTAGGAGATATGAGGTGTTGATGAAAACTTTTCATACACAAAATATTTTGACAAATATAGACACTTCATGATTTTGCACTGATTGACAGCAATGACCAGGTTTATTAGTACTGGCAGTCTCCACTCAATACCTTGCTGATTATAACAGAATTATTTATAGGACGTATATGTTATAACTGAATTCATGGTGGCAAACTGTGGAGCCCGAAACCTGTATTTCGTCCTATTTGGGGCTCACCAACTCTATGTACCAACACACCAGTAAGTGATCTTCCTACCGAGGCTCGAGCTCAGGACCCTTCACTTCAAACGCTTGAGCGTTATCTACTAAGCCACAGCGGCATGGTAGCCGCCTTTGGTGCAACGAGTGTCAGTTTTTGTAAAGATACTTGTAATTTCCCGTTGCTATGTGCCAACAGAAGTCGAGCGATTCGGCCCTGTATAGCAACGGGAAATTACAAGTATCATTACCATATCAGATTATTTATTTGAGTATAACGTACAGTGATACAGTATGTTTATTCTGTCGATGACGTTTCGGCACAAATTATTGCTCATACCATCAATGTAATCAAATAACTTCAGACATTTGGTTTTACAGTCCTGTCCCCACCCTATTCTGTTGTCCTGTGATAATGCACGTATTACAATAGCGAGTTCTTTTTACATAACTGATCTATTGGGTCTATCATTCTATATTTAACTAAATTCCTATTTTCTAATCTAACTAACGGAGATCGGCTAGATTGACCTTACAGTCATTGATGGAATTTGTCGTTGGATTATTTCGCTCAGTTATCTATAGATCCCTAAACTGACAATGTTTATCTCTGAGTGACATTGTAGGGAGTTTAAATGAGTTCAAAGCCCCAGTTATGCAACGATACAAGGAAGGAACTTGAGAAACTTTAACTGGGATTCTCAACAAGCCTGGAATTGAAGTGGTTGATTTCATTTTCGCTTATTCAGTAGTAGTAAAGTTGATTTAAATAAATTTGAGATAGTATAAGTCAAATGATAAATCAAAAATATATTATATGTTAACGATGGATAGTGGCTAGCAATGGAGTCCATCCAGGAAGCGCGTTTCATCCTATTTGGGACTCGTTACCTGGATGTAACTACCTTCAAATGAACAATGTTGCATCCACTTGGACTCCAACTGAAAACTATCACTTAAAACACGAGAGCGTTATCCACTACGCCTCCGACTCACGAAAGCCACTCCTTGTTAGATGGCCTATTGGATAATGTTCTGGCGTTTGAGGCGATCGTGACAGAGTTTGAGTCTTTGCAGAGACAACATCGCTAACTGGGGTGCAGGTAAATCCTGCCAGCGAGTCCCAAATAGGACGAAACGCACGCCCTGCATTTAACTCCCAGCAACTACCCATCAATTATGTGTAATTAAAATAAGGGAAATATCGAGGCATCGGCACAGGTGTCCATATCCCAATAGAGACCATTCAATTATATCCACTCAGTGTTGGGATAACACGAGCAACAATATTTAAAAGAAATTATCTTAAAAATGTACACTACATGTTGATAATTGTAACCGTTGATAGGTGATACACATATCCAGTTGCATTCATTTTAGAAAGGATGTTTACATAAGTTCAAAGAAACTATGTGTTAAAGCCATCTGTACACTTCCAACAAAATTAGTGATACTAAAAAAGAGTTCGGTGTCTAAATAAATATGCTAATTTATTGCTATGCAGCATTTTCGACACAACCTGCATAGTTTTCTTTCAAGGGCCAAATTTGCTGAACTAATTCTTGACAATTTCTAAACTCAGTGAAGAAAATATTCGTTGCAACGAATCATTTTCCGAAACCGTTCAATCATATTTACAGTTACAAAGAGAATTAAGGTTCATCAACGGCGAATGAGTCAAGATATAAGGTCATTAAAACTTGTTAAAAACGTCATAAGGTGATTATTTATAGGATTTCAACGAAAAAGTGAATAAAATGACTTAGGGAGATTATGATCTAAGTAAAACTCAAGATTCGACGTACCACTTTTGAAGGCAGAGATGGAGCTTAAATCGATAAATTGCCAGGGTTTCCATTATGCTTAGGTGACTAACCCACACTTTCTTCGGAATGTCTAATTTGATTTTATAAATAACTTTGAAGGAAGATTATAGTGAAACTTAGTGACCAGAATGAATCAGATATTCAAAAATTGTGGTGTCAAACGGTTTTTATTCCCTTTTAGATAGTGTTCGGATAAAACGTTCTTTGCATGGCATTTGCAATCAGCTCAATAAGAGCAGGTGAATTAGTAATCGCAAATGAAGGTGGCAAACAGTGATAGTTTATCGCTTACGTATCATCAAATCTCTTGTTAACTGGAGAAAATAATCTGAAATTAGGTGGAAAAGAGGGTCTTCCTCAGTGGCCCCTTCCATCGATTCTTGAGTATCTGTGCCTATGCATCCCCTTAAACATATACAGTTATATTTCAGCTGACCGTCTCAGAACTAGAAGCACGTTAAACACTGACAAATACCCATTACAGATGCTAAGTACCACTAAGAATAACATTATTCAACTTCATATATATTGGTTAAGAGATAACAACATTAATAGTAATAATAATGACAATCGGAAATGAGTTCCACGTTTCTTATAATTATTTCTTATTGTCTATGAGTGTCATCTCTGCTTGTACTTATTCCCTTTGAAGCAGTTCAGCACCAAATATTCCTTTAAATCTTCCAAGGACTGCTACCTTGAGGAAAATACTCACTGTGATGTGCAGGATATATCATTTAGTTCCGTAAAGAGGAATGTGAACATCATTTCTCTTCTTCTTTACTGTTATCAGCTCCAACTCTTGCAGTCACAGCAATTCCCTTAAAAAATAGCTACAGTTCAAAGATCTACACTTCTTTGTACTAAATTCTGTTAGATCTCAGTTTTCATCCACAAGAATCAATCCTCATAAGAGCTGCATACGATATAGATACATAACAATGTCCTATATTAACAATAATGACTTATTTTTGCATGGGTTTAATGAAGTTCTAGGAAGAAGTCGTGACCAGGAAGATGAAACATGTTGAGAGCGACAATGACATGTAAGGATGCTCATAATTCATCGAAAATTGACAAAAGTAGGAAATCTTAATTTTATAGTTTGATGGGAAACTGTTGAAAATATATTTGTTTGAAGCGTGTTTTCCAATTACTGTAGTAAGAATATATGAATTATTTTGAAGACTGAAGTATTTTGTGAAATATTAGCATAACGGCTATTGTAAAACCTGTCAACAAGTCTCTTTCTATGAATTGCACATGTCTCAGTTATTTAAATCGATTAAGTCAAAAGGGTAGGTGGATTTTATGCCAGTATGTTTACATTTGTCGGTTATCATCAAACGTTTTTGTTGCAGAAAACAACTTCAGCTTTCTATTTTGTTTTTCAGAGTAATCTAGCTTCATTCCATCTAACATCTCCAGGAACTAGTAGAAATATCTCAGCTTCCACTCCACTTGTTACTACACCGGTTTCACATTTGTCTGCAAGATCTACCGAAGTAACGAAGCCTGATCGACCGAGTAGTGCACCATGTTTCGTAAGTAGTCATAATTTACGCTTGATAAAGGCTTTATTGAACTGTTTTCATTTAGTACCGATGAAATAGTTTGTAACAAGTTCCTCAATTCCTTGATCATTAGAACTGAATAAGTTGATTTCTTTCTAGAAAATGTACTCATTTGTTACTTTACCGATGCAGATTATGCAAACCTTGACGAACACTTATGATAAACACTGAGATGTTCGTATTGAAGATCCCAAGTCTTAAAGTAAAGTGCATGAGTGAAATGAAGTGCAATAAGTTGAAGTGTTTTTCTTTTTAACTCTTTCCTTACAGAAACTAAAAATTGAAGTTACGTGAATGTTATTTACTGTCTGAAACAGTTTTGTACCGAAATTCATTGGTGGGTTCTGAGGTCATACATAGCACCATCAGGTGAACTGTATAGACAACTATTCTTGCAAATGTATAAGATGAGAAAAGTAGCATTGTACGCTTGATGATTAGTTTACAGGTTATTTCACCGATAACCAGGGAAGTAAATTGATTTCCTGTCGTTAACTTTTGTGACAGTTTAGATAAGTTCATACATATTCGTGCGTAAACAATAACACTGGATCTTTCAAGTTGGTATTCATCATGGACTAACATCAGTTGGGAAAGCATTGGAAACCTTGGAGCATTGAATAACTGTTTCGTCCTAGTACAAGACTCCTCGCAAACCCCCAAAATCAGCATTGGGTGTGGTATAATCACCTTACAATTCAAATAACCACACCTAAGTTTAACACATGCAGTTCAAGTTCAGAAAGGAGGTGGACAAAAGGTTGATTATAATAATAATAGAATTTATATTAAGATGTACAAAAAATGCGAAAGAAGGTTTATGGAACAAACCCATGTTACAGTAAGAGCTAGATGAAAATAACGCCGGAATATGTTTGCCTTTCTGTGGATGACTGAGTTCTTCAACCATTGATTTCTATTATTTCGGAGAATCCATACTGGTAGCCCACATTCCTGTACATGGATCAGGCAGATGTGCGTAGGTTTTACTGACTGATATTGTTGTTGAAATTCTTTGAAAATAATCCTACTGCAGAAAAATAGTTCACTGAGGTAGAAAATGGTTGATCATTTATCACATGATGTAAATGCTTAACACTCTGAAGACCACAACTTTGTGACCTGATCGCATTCTTTACCTAGAAATCTACATCTGACCTCCGCGTTTCTTGCGTAATGGTCTCAGTTTACATCTTCATTGCTATGAAACCAATAGTGGTCCAGCACCTGGAATAATCTCATATCTTTCACCATGATTATTCACGTTAAACAGCCTTGGAGTGGGAGGGAACAAACTTTTGTATTTGAACATCACTCTGATGCAATAACTGGAGCAAGTCTGTGATATCTAATTAAGTCTCCTGTATCCATTACCAGATTTCATCAGTCACTAACCCATTACAGTTGATGCAACTTAGGAAGCAAGCGTTCAGTACATTCAGTTGATTCACCTTTTTTTATCACTAGGTGTCGGTCAGTGTTTATGTAGCCACTAGTACTATGCGGTCATTCAAGATATTTTGAAGATAAGATTCTCTCGGCGCTTTCACATTAGGTTGACTGAAGAGTCATTGCTAAGTAGACCAGTGCCTGAAAAATTAAAAGTTGTCACAAAATTAAAACTAGAAAGAGTTTATATCCTTGAAAGAATCAAGTTATTGGAAACATTTTCCAGGGCATTTGAACTTGTTATCTATATCAGCTGCAAACATTTGACCAAAATGGCTTTAAAATACAAATGTACCTTCAAGGTATCCGATACAGTCAGATATATTGTTATAAAACTTCCTGATCAAGGCAACACAATACCACCCTTAGTTTAAAAAATACAGTTAGTATCAGACTCTGACATGCATTATATTGTTCCAGAATTCGTTAGAGGGGTGAACATTCCTTGACACACCCAAGTTCAGTTCTGAACATCGTTGGTCTTTCTTGGATGTACTGTTCCTGAGCTCCTGATAAATACAAAACAGTTAGGAAATCCAGTTTCATAGACTGTGTTAGTATCGCAAGATAATCCCTATTTTCCTTGGTGACTTGGACAACCAACCACCGATTCTGGTCAGAGGATATCATATTTGATTCGCATACACTAGTTATTACCTCTATCATTTCAGCCATCCATAAATGTCTACGTTAGCCGTCCCATCAGGACCCAATACCTTTCTTTTTTTCAGATTATTTACAACTCTATCAACTTCAGTAAAAATTTATGATTCTTACCAAGGTGAAACTGGATGACAGCTCTCCGAAAAATGGTTGGAGATCAGTTGAAGCTTTCTATGCCTCGTTTAAAATTTCTTCCCTTTGAGCAGTTTACTGACGCATTTTTCTTCACTAAAGTCATGTTCGTATCTGGATTTTTCAAAATCTCCCTGCTTACTCTAAACAGTCTTTCCCTATTCATCCTCATCAGTACCTCCTGCGTCTCTCTAGTCTATTCTGCTTATAACGATTGTCAGTTATTACATAGGCTGATTATCATTACGCACTGAAAGTGATTAGCTATTCACCGTGCGTGTAACTTACAGATATGCTCCTCTATATATCCACTCATTCAGATAAAGTCAGTGGCATCCACCAGTACCCATTCAGAGTCCTTACTTCTGTTTTTGAAGCATACTGGATATTGGATAAATACGGTTGTCCCTGTTTCGTTTAATCTTTGGCCCCCTATATTTTCAATATTGGCATTTTCTTCTTCGAGTTGCATTTGAAAACACCCTTCATTTTTGATTTGCTGAGTTCATCACAGTGCACACGTGGAACAAGTACACTAATGTACATGCAGCGTCTAAAAATGCACTTAAGAGAGTGGCAGTCAGTCAGAATCCTCAAATTTATCAGTATGGTACATTGTGTATACGAGCTCACCATTGCCTAATGTTGCTAGTCACTGGACCAGACGACGTCTTTATATCTACTATTTATCGACACTTGTAAGCGAACATATGTTACGAACAAACATAACTGTTGGCTTTATGCTGTTTCATGTAGTACTCTTTCTGCATTGACCACTCAATTTAGAAGCACAAAAGGAGATTTCTATAAACATGCTCAATTTACTACGACGAAACTAAACATTTTATGAAACATTAGAAACACTAGATACTTTTTCAAAAAGTTTATTAGATAACAGACTCAGCGAAATGAAAATTACTTCTCTATGAATAAGATTTGCTTCATCTAATAAGGACTTTTAAAATCTTCACACAGACTTTCATACTACTCGCAAGTAGTGCAGATAAACACAGATATTCATAACAGGCTGAATTACTTCACTCTTACAAATGATAATTCATTCAATTATATACAAAAACATTCATTCATTTTAGGTGAAACAGTCTTTCGCATCCTCTTCGTGCGGTGAAAAGTCTCAATCCTATGTAGCTGAAGATGTTGTGGTGCAGAACGACAGTACTGACGGATGTACACCAAATGAAGTAGGAGAGCAAACAACAGATGATAGAGAGACAAGTAAACAGGAAGAAGTAAACAAAGAGTTGAAGGATTCAACTATCACTTTTGATAAGAAATTACTGAAAGAATGTAAGATAATACTGGAGGATGGATATGATAGGGCACTCAGACGTTATGGATGGAGAATGGAAATACCTGGAGATCCTTTAAATTTGAAGTAGGTAAAAGCTTTCTACGTGTTAATCTTATTGTCTTTTGATGTGAACAAATTTGAGGTGACTTTCGCTTTCATTCTGGAAACTGACTGATATGTGAAATTTTAGGCTAGAAATTCATGACCTCTGATATCTACATTTTATTCAAAGAACTCCTTGAAAAATATTCCTTAGTGTTTACACACTCATTCATACTACTTGGTATAATCTGACTAAACAGATTTATAAGTGTTCATCAAAGTCATTGGCAAACACATTTGGTTCCTGAATACTCACTGGGAAAGTAAATTGAGTTCAATATCAATGTTCAGCTGAAATTTAGAAGGTGAGAAATTGAAAGTGGTACTGACAGTTTTGATTTGAATTTCAATTGATTCAGGGACCATACTCGTGGTGTTTTTACTCATTGAGATTGACTATCTCTAGAAATAGATTGGTCGAAAAACTGACGATATCGTTGATTGTTATCTGCTTCGACGAGATCGATTCACTTTGACTTGGTTCTTATAACATTTAGCAACAACCAACCCTGTATAACTGTTTTCAGAAATCCTTAAAATAAGAAAACCACATTGATATTCATCGTAGACTGTCTTCAGTTGGAGGAGCGTTGGAAACATGCAAGCACTGTACAGTTTATTCAACCTGGTAAGGGACTCCTCTGCAATGCGCAACCATGATCCTCCGTCGCCAGAAATCGAATGCAGAATCTTCAGGTTCCGTGGCCAGTACGTCACGATTGAGCCACCTGGTCGGAATAACAATGACCCGTATTTCTAGCTTCTATCAACTGACAATGTAGCACGACCATGACCCAATATCATAGTTGAGTATTTGTCTTCATGGCCACCAGGTTTGCCTCGCTGGTAACAGCTTTTTATTGGAGCTACAGGAGTCATCTCTCGAAGCCAGTCACCAATGAGCACTTGATAAATTTTGAACGAAAATCAAGTTATTAAGATCCTGAATTTAGGCACAAAAGATAGCATGAAACAAAATGACTAGCCTTTATCTAAAGTGACTAAGATCCCATTTGCCATTATACGATCTCGTCAGGTTGAAATTGTCCCTTCGTTCACTTCGTTTCTTGTTTGACATAGAGTCATAGCTTTGGTGAAGACTACTGCTGGTGTTCTTGTATTGGTTGTTAGTTTACTTAGTGACTATAGTACGAAAAATTATCTGCGTGTATGCGCGAAAATTTTGAAGTTCACTTGTAAATAAGATTTTGGAATTTATACGTTTTCACAAAATCACTTCGAAGTCGAATAGAATGGTTTTAATTATTTTCAGGTCTCCAGAACAAAAACTGTATATAGTAAGATAGAGCAGCAGGAAATTTTGAGTTAAATGATAATTTTAGTGTGTTATATGATCAAGGAAAGTCTTCATTTCTAATAACATCGGAGGAAAAGCTACTCAAAGCTGGTAATTAAAGACTAGTGAACTCTAGAAATTGGCTCCGTTTATATTGGAGTTACCTTGTGGACATAACTGTTTGAATAAACGTTACAATGTATTTGTCATGCAAGAATCTTGAACATGTGTGGCAAAATACGGATTGCAAATCTAATAGGGTTTTCACAAGCACCTAGAAAAACAATACTCGATTAGTCTACTTTCATATCTCGATATTAAAGGAGATTGGATAGAACATGAGCGCTAAGTTGAGAAGGTATAGATTGGACATTAATACACATGGACATGAATTCCTACTGCTTTATACAATAAGTTAAATGAGATTCGAAACTAAGGCTGCAACAAATGTTTGCATATTACTTATTGTAGTAGTCTGGGTATACAAACTAGTAATTTGGTTTTTGATCTAATTAGAGAAGTCCTTAAACCCAGAGATCGAAGCATCTTTCCGGGATCTTTGTTTGCAGTTAGTCAAGTACTTTGTACTGCATTCTGTTGGGACTGGAACTATATACGAGTGACATTATTGTGTCCAAATATTTGTTGATTGATTAACAAAACGTAAAACTTCTGTGTTTGTTTCAGAGCACCACTATTGCCTAAACGCTTACCATATACAGTGAAATTCCAGTTACTCCCAACTCAACCACAACCACCGAAGATGAAGAAACAAAATATTGAGACATTCTTTCAACCAACTATCAAAGTTCCGTTATCAAGTTTCACTGTTCATCCAGACTTCACTTCAGAATGCTACAATACACATAGAAATTATTTGATTAAAAATGGTCTGTGGAATTATGCTACGAGGAATTATTCATTTGCATACTGATAAGATTCATTATCTTTTAACCTAACAGTGACTTCTTATATTTTATGTACAATATATATGTATTTTGTTGTATCGTGTTGATTAGCAGTGGCTTTTCGAGTTGGTTGTTAAGTTAGCCAGTCACGATAATAAAGCTGAGTTACACTAGCTATAAATGTTGTTTCTACAACCTCAAGCATGCTAGGAAGGTTAAATGAGTAGTTTTCAAACCACAAGCTGGAGTAGTCCCTCACTTCGTTGAGGTGTTAGTGTGAAGTTCTAGAAGTTTGCTTCTGTCAAGTGAGTTAGTTCGAGCTATTCTTTCATAATTTCAGTCACAAACAGATTAGCTGCTATTCAGCTTTTCGATAATTTGAACTTTACGTTCTAGCATTACTAATTTTTATGTAAGATTATTGAATACTTCTTTTATCAAGTACATGGATAATTCATCATCTTCCATTACGAAATGACCACCAATTTTCAAAAATTAGAATTGTATCCAGCATGTTGATGGTTTTCTAGTTACTTCGTGACTTATGATAAAGAATGGGGTAATCTTGGATTGCACTTTTCTGCAACGTCAAAAGCTGAGTGACACTAAAGCAACAGGTGTAGAAGGATAACACGAGAGCACTTTTATTATTTCCAGAATCCTTATCAATTAGTTGTAAACTAAATCATATCAAAATGTACACGCTACAAATATTGAGCATACTCTCATCAAGTTGACAGGAATTTATTAACAAGATTAACCGCTAATATAAATAATTTGAATAAATAAAGCGTTGGAGATCGACAGATATGTGACAGAAGGCTCGACTATTTATTGGATTAATAGGTGAACATTGTTGAAAGAGAAAGTTAAAAATAAGATGGAAAATATTTATCATCCATGCAGTAACTTCAAAATATTTTCAGTTTATAGAAGTATGAAGAGTGGAGTGGGCAGCTTTCAAGCAGAAATTAGGGTTTGAAAAGAAGACAAAATATGCAAGATAGAATCACGTTACAAAAGTTTGCGCACATTTTATTATAAACCAAATACAACGGTGACGAGAGGTCAACAAATATATCTTTGAGAATACATGGATTTGGCTACAGTTTCTTCATAACTTACACAGTTCTGGCTAGCAGAATAGTCCAGGACGCGCGTTTCGTCCTATTAGGGACTTGTCGTCTGAATGTATCTGGACCCCAGTGAGTGATGTTTTTCCCATTGAGATTCGAACTTCGTACCAGTCTATTCAGGTGTCATCCGCTAGATCACGGAGGATCGATAACCAGCTCTTGTACAACAGCCATTTTTTAATACTATTTATTGATATGCTTGTAATTCTCAGTTAGTTTGCTGGATCGAATTGTTCGACCTCTATCGGCATACCTTCTTCAAAATGTAATTGGCTTAAGCTCTTTCTCCTGTTCATCACTTTAAGCAGTAAATGGCTGTCAATATCGTGTCCAGTATCAATCTTGTAACCTGCAGTCATGATATTCAACACAAGCTGATCGTGCATAGTTAGAATAGTGGGAATATAATATTAGGTTGCTAAGTGCAGTTGAAGGTAACATGAAGTGGGAATTATTCCACTCTCAATTGTCACATACAGAAATTCATGGGGTGAAGGTAGATAAGCTTGGTGGACAGATGCGTTCTTCACGACGTAGAATTCAATCGACGCTTAATTCTAGCAGCAATTTCATGAAGCTTGAGCGTAATTTCTGAAAGAACAGGCTTCTTCTCCACACTCTATTCTTCTCATGTCAGACAAAACTTGGTGATGTGGTTTTGAATCTCAGAGAGGATATCAGTACCATCAAGGTTGTACATATGTCTTGACGATGAATGCCAACAAGCATGAAGCTAGAAGTCAAGCAGAGATTCCTGTCGATGATCTCTAAGCAACTAACTTCCCACATTTGTCAACACACCTCTGTGGTTAACCCTTATCAATAAAGAACGTCGTACACCACTGCATCGGTTCAAGCTCATCCACTTCAAAGTTATGTGTAAAGAACAGGTGGGCAGAAAAAGAGTGATACGAAAGTAGAAACATTTGTGCCAGACGATAAACATTTTGAAGATAAAGGCTAGTGCGGACATCCAAGTTTTAGATGACAAATGGCTAATACATGTGCGCCACTGTGATTGATTTCCAGCCACGTCACCAAGAGTTCGTAACCACTGATCCCTTTCACTTATGAAACCCTAACCAGGCAGTCCACATCGCCACATGTGACTGAGACTAGCAGTCAGGGGCCACGTGGACTGGTACCACGTCTTTGTCTGGCTACATTGAATGAAGTAGTCGACACATTCATCCACGTCACTTCCTATCATTGAAGTGGGAGTAATAGCAGACCGGTCCAAAGCCATCATCTTATTTTGATAGGTGCATGCCAAACGCATGTCAAACATACTCAGATTTCAGCTGGGCGTCTTACCCTGGCAGGATAATATCGTCATTCAGATGGCCTACAGGTAGCTGATCTGCCGATGTGAAGTCAGACGTATCTAAGGTTACGACTATTAGTACGTCTGTATAGAAGCTAAATAAGGATGGGGGTAGTGGACAGCCATGATGAACACCACTAGCTGTCGTCACTTCTGATGAAAACTCTTGATAAGCCCCTACACGGCTGCCTGAGTTCGAATAGGGAGCTTCGATGTACATTACATTATATACTTGCTCATTTCTGTCTTCATATTGAGACGCTGTCGCATTACCTTTCGGTTGGCAGAGTCAAACGTCACGTTCAGATAAAGAAAGATGGCAAGTGTCGGTCACTAGCAAGTATGTCTTTATCTCAGAACTTGTCAAAGAGTGTAATTATGACCGATAAACCCTTGTCCAGATCTGTCTGAAACCTGTCTGGCTTTCTCCTCGTTGCGTTTAGTGGCGTTCTCGCATCTCGTATTATTCTGTCAGTCACTTACACTCGATCACTTCAGGAAGTAAGCATCGCACTGCTGGTAATCCAAAGGAAAAACCTTTCTGCCACCACATCTCTGGCCAGTCAGCCATATGACTTCTTCCCCAGACCCCGTCATAGTGTATCAATTCAGACTACAACAGTAATTGCTTTTCCTCGTACCATTATCGAACAGACCATTCTGGCATGAAAAGAAATCGGAAAACATGAGTTCCAGCCAGGGTAGTTCGTCGATTCATTGTGATAGACAAGCCTGACCACCACTTGTAGGTGGCAACTATTATTTGGATTATCACGTGAACATTTCTCGACAACAGATAACTCCTTATGAAGTTTTTCTCTCGAACACACGTTTCTGAAATAGTTAATCAGAGTACCAACCAATAACATTTTACTGTTCATATGACACAGGGTTTTGAAGGTGAAATAAAGTTCACACTAAGTCTGCTTCCTATCAGTATACTTTTGAACTTTGCCACCTGTGTCACGTCAGGCACCAAGATCCAGGAAATGAGCGTATTGATATGTTCACACTCCATTGTGAATCTTATATCAGTATGAACATCATTGAGATTTACTACACGAGACTCACCACTGAAGTGATTGCAAAGGACAAAAGCAGCACCAACATGTTTGGCATGAAATGCTTCCTCATTGATTGCTCCCTTCATCTTTCTCTACTCCGGACAACCATGAGTAAGTCAGACAGTATCAGAGTCAAACGGCAAGAGATAGTGACTCGATCAATTTGGAGATATGAAGAATTCTCGAAATAGAAAAGGGCATCAGTTCCTTGCAGTTAATATCTAATAAATGAGGAAGGTTTAAGTGTTGAAACATAATCCTTCTGGGTCCTTACCCTAGTTGCAAATGAATTCACAAATGTTCAGAACTACACCACAATACTGTTCCTTTTTCATAATTATAGCTTGGCTTCCAGATGGAGCGTGGGTACTAATTTCCATTCCTTCTGTGTGATGACAAGGATAGTATAATTTTTCACATATCTGTAGGATCATTTCTATTGTATGACTTTGGCGTTGATTCGATAAACAAGGATTCGGTTGTCAATCTCTCCCTCCACCCAACTAAGTTGGTATTTAATGCTGTCACTCTGTCCTACCCTATTGCGTGATTGTGTGTAATTCCATGCCAACCTTTTTTATAAATTTCCCATCTTATTAGGATCCACTAGACTCGATCTGGCTAATATTTTGTCTTCTCTCATTCTAATTACCCTGATCGACTAATTTCATCTATATATTTAACCTTACAATCATTGCAGGAGATTTAGTAGACCAGATTATTTTGCTTAATTGCATCAATAGGGTCTTTTAACCTTGGTTCTAAGCGAATTTTTTGGTTTAAATGTCACTTTAATTTCAGCCTTATTGAGAACTCTTCGTAATGCTTCTGAGGTGGCTCCTTTGTATAGTAACACAGAAGAGACTCTGAATCCTCTCTCAACCCTGTCACCATTACTAATATTACTATTAATATTTGTCCATTAGGTTCCTAATGGAACATAGGGATCCAGTAGCAAGTCTACAGTGCGCCCTCTTCTCTGAAATCTTCTGGACCTGGCTCCACGACAGACCAGAACCTCTCATTTCTTCCTCAAACGATCTCACCCATGTCACCCTCCACTCGGACGCCCAACTCATCACTTCCCATCTCGGCCCAACTCGAGGGCCGGGCTTGACGCGTGATGTCTCGTATCAGCCTTCTCAGTGTATGCACAATCCAGTCCATCTCCACTTCCTTCTGCATATTTGTTGAGCGATAGGTTACTGCTTGGTTGGTTCGTTGCCAGCCAGCCAACCAGCCAGAGTTCCTTGTTGCTTATTCTGACTATTCTGGCCATCTGATCTCCAGTATTGAGCCGGAGTAGGCAGTTGATGATGAATGTCTGCAGTTTGTTGGAAATGCTTTTCGTAACATGCCAAGTCTCTGAGCCATACAGAAGCACTGACTTGACTGGATCGGTGTTGAAAATCCGGATCTTGTTCATACTGCATGCGGAGTGCAGAAGATCTCCACACTGGTTTCTGGCTAATGAACACCTATCTTGCTGTCTTTCCGAACCTGGCTGGCTTTCACGTCCACGTCTGTGCCGCCATGTTGTTGAAACAGTGCTACCTAGATAGGTGAAGGAGGCTACTTCCTTTAGGTCTCTTCCATTCATGGTGATTGGAGCTAGTTGTTGTTGTTGGTGGTGGTGTTCGTTGGGAATCTTCAT